CCCCCCCGGCGGGAGCCAATCGTCCAGAACCGGCCCCTGGCAGCCTCATTCCTCCCAGGTAATTTGGATAAATGAGGGGACACCCGGAGTGCCGAGGACAAAAGGGTGGCCGAGCACAGGGGAAGGGGGGCGGCGGTGCCCGGAGCCCCGAGGCTGCTCCCAAATCCTGCCCCTTCCACGGGGGGGGGCACGTGCCCTTCAGGCTGTGTCCCAGATTTTAGAGGGACTCACCCCCATGCCCCAAATTGTGCCCCATCTACAGGGGTTCATCCATGTGTCCTTCGGGCTGTGCCCCAAATTTTAGAGGGACTCATCCCCCTGTCCTTGATGCTGCTCCCAGGATGTGCCCAAATTTTATAGGGACTCACTCATGTGTCCTTCATGCTGTGTCCTAAATTTTATAGGGACTCATCCCCCATCCTTGATGCTGCTCCCAGATCGTGCCCCTTCCACAGGGACTCACCCCTGTGTCTCTGATACTGCATCCCAAATTTTATAGGGACTCACCCACACGTCCCAAATTGTGCCCCATCCGCAGGGATTCATCCATGTGTCCTTCAGGCTGTGTCCCAAATTTTATAGGAATTCATCCCCCTATCCTTGATGCTGCTCCCAAATTATGCCCCTTCCCTATGGACTCACTCCTGTGTTGCTGAACTGCATCCCAAATTTTACAGGGACTCACCTCCATGCCCCAAATTGTGCCCCATCCTCAGGGACTCACCCATGTGCCCTTCAGGCTGTGTCCCAAATTTTAGAGGGACTCACCCCCCTGTCCTTGATGCCATTCCCAAATCGTGCCCCTTCCACAGGGACTCACCCACGTGCCCTTCAGGCTGCATCCCAAATTTTACAGGGACTCCCCCCCATGTCCCAAATTGTGCCCCTTCCACAGGGACTCACCCGTGTGTCTGCCCTACCGCATCCCAAATTTTATAGACACTCACCCCCATGTCCCTGATGCTTCATCCCAAATTTTTCCCGCTCCACAGGGACTCACCTGCATGTCCCTGATGCTTCATCTCAAATTTTGCCTCATCCACAGGGACTCACCTGCATGTCCCTGATGCTTCATCCCAAATTTTGTCTCATCCACAGGGACTCACCTGCAAACCCCTGATGCCACATCCCAAATTTTTTCCCCGACCCCGCTGCTTTCCCCCCACTTTGGCCATGGACAATCCTGGTCCCCGAGGGCACAGGGAGCCCCTTTCCCGTGCTCCTGGTATCCCAAACCCATCCCTGGTGCTCTCTGGAAGTTGCTGAGACCTTTCCCCCCAAGCCCACGAGCTCCCTCCGGGCTGGCACGTTGTTCCACGGGGGAATCTCAGGTTTGAGGAAACACTCAGAGCATTTATTTTGCCCTGAAATGTATAATAAATGCTGTTAAGGACGTGGGCTTTGACAGAGGTAATAATAAATTCCGTGTTAAAGACAGTAGTTTAATTCCTTCTCCCCTCCAATACTGCCCAGAATAAACTATATTCATCACCCAGTAATTTTTTACCCCATAAATCTTTAAAACGAACCGTCGGAGGCTGTTGAGGCTGAAATATTGTGAATTTATTAGATATGCCCGTGTAGGATTGGATTCAGAGGTTTCCATTCGAATATATTAACGGGGGAAATTTGTGTCTCTGAGTGTGACAATCCTGCCATTTTCCAAAGGCTCCGGAACGAGCGGCAGCTCCTCCAGACTCGGCTCCTGCCTTTGATTTGACAGAGATTTAAGGACAAACCCCTCGATGGGGTCTTTTTTTGGGGGGGGTGTGACATTTGCTGCGGTGCCCTTGGGTGGCAAAACCAAATAAATAAGAGTGAATAAATAGGTAAATACACGTGGGGGTAAATAAATAAACGTTGAGCTAAGCGGGGAGGTAAATAGGTGAATAAATACAGAGGCAAAGGGATAAATAATGGGAGAGGCAGAGAGAGAAATAAATCAATCTCGGGGTGGGTGAGGAAAGGACTTTGTATAAGGAAGCAGATCAATAAGTAAATAAATATATAAGTGAATAAATAGAGAGGGTTTTTTTCCTCCGGTGTGGCAAATGCCTGACAGTTTCCCAGTTTGTTTTGGAAATGGGAGTGGGAATTTCGTTTGGAAGTCGTGATGATGGGAGGTGTTCAAGTGAAGCCTCGTCCTTAAACCCTTCCCTTCCTGATTGCAGCTTTCCCAGGTTGTTTTATGGACCTACATATTATATAGATATTATATAGATATAGATATAATGTGTAATTATATAGGCAATATCTTATATTTTTAGCTATGGAATATTATTGACTATAACATTATGAGTATAATATTATTGAGTTGGACTTTGGTGATCCTTGTGGGTCCCCTCCAACTCGGGATATTCATAATTATATAATACATTATATTATATATTATATATTATATTATACATTACATTATTATAATATATTTATATATTATATATATTTATATATAATATATATAATATATTTTAGCTATATAATATTATTGACTATAACATTATGAGTGTAATATTATTGAGTTGGACTTTGGTGATCCTTGTGGGTCCCCTCCAACTCAGGATATTCATGATTATATACTATATTATATATTACATGATTATAATATATATATGTTATTTATATTATATATATTTATATATAATATATAATATATTTTTAGCTATGGAATATTATTGACTATAAAATTATGAGTATAATATTATTGAGTTGGACTTTGGTGATCCTTGTGGGTCCCCTCCAACTCGGGATATTCATGATTATATACTATATTATATATTATATTATTATAATATATATATAATATATATTTACATATATTTATATGTAATATATATATTTTTAGCTATATAATATTATTGACTATAACATTATGAGCGTAATATTATTGAGTTGGACTTTGGTGATCCTTGTGGGTCCCCTCCAACTCGGGATATTCATGATTATATTATATATTATATTATATATTATATTATATATTATATATTATATATTATATGATTATATGATTATATGATTATATGACATACAATATTATAAATAATATTATCTCTCTGTTCTATCCATCCACGCCTGGATGCAGGTTGTTCAGATTTGGGAAGTGGGAGAGGAAAAGGAGGAGCCTTGAGGATAAAATCCCGATTCCACGTGGGCAGAACAGCCCGGGGGGGTTCAAATGTGCCAGGGGGTGAGAGTGGCACCTCCAGCCCTGCCAGGTGGGAGCCCGTGGAGCTCAGGGCACCTTTGTTTCCTTTGCTGCTGTGAGATGCCAGCAGAGAGTGGGAATCTTTGTTCATTAGAGAGAGACGGAGCTAATTATAAAACCATCTCGGGGGCCAGGAGGCGCCGGTAACATTTAAACCAATTGATGTGGTAACATTTCCAGCGGGTTCTGTTGCAAAATGTCACGTAGCCGGCTCGTTTCCATCAGGGACGAGTTAAGAGAGGGATGGGATTCAAACTCCCGGGGTCGGAACTCCCGGGCTCGGGAATGAAATCGAGTTTGCCTTGGCCAGAAGTCCCTCCGTGCCCCCAGAAGTCCCCAATTCCCGGCGTTTCGCCCTCTTTGAGGTCACAGGTCGAGGGTTAAAAGTGAGAGCAGGAATTATAATCCTGGCAACACTGAAATCCGGGGGTGGGGGAGCTTGGAGGAGCCTGGTCTGGGGTGGGGGAGCTCGGAGGAGCCTGGTTTGGGGTGGGGGAGCTCGGAGGAGCCTGGTTTGGGGGCAGGTTCACGTCCCACCCCACTCAGGACCTCACACCCGCCGGCGTTCTGTGCTCGCTCTGCTCCGTCCTCCCTTCCCTCCATCCTCCCTTCTCTCCATCCTCCCTTCCCTCCGTCCTCTCTTCCTTCTGTCCTCCCTTCCCTCCCTCCTTCCTTCTCTCCATCCTCCCCTCCATTCTCCCTTCCTTCTGTCCTCCCTTCCCTCCATCATCCCCCTTCATCCTCCCTTCTCTCCATCCTCCCTTCCCTCTGTTCTCCCTTCCATCCTCCCTTCTCTCCATCCTCCTTTCCCTCCATCCTCCCTCCCCTCCATCCTCTCTTCCCTCCATCCTCCCTTCCCTCTGTCCTGCCTTCTCTCCATCCTCCCTTCCCTCCATCCTTCCTTCCCTCTGTTCTCCCTTCTCTCCATCCTCCCCTCCCTCCATCTTCCCTTCCTTCCATCCTCCCTTCCCTTCCCTCCATCCTCCCTTCCCTCCATCCTCTCTTCCCTCCGCCCTCCCTTCCCTCCTTTCCTTTCTTTTTTTCTTTTTTAAATCCCCTTTTCCAAGCTGCTCCATCTGTAAATGAACCAACATCTTGATTTTATGGCCTCTCTCTTCTGTACCACGGAGAGGGGGAAGCAGAGGAGGGGGGGAGTCATGGAATGCCTAAGTAAGACTTTAATTCGGGATTCATTCGCGCCGGAGTTGTCACAAACCATAATGCAGGATTTAATTAAAATAACACGAGATGCGTCTCGATATGTCCTGGGGTAGCGATCACCCACTTCCAGCCGCCGCTCCCGGCCTTGGATTTATGGAAGTGCAGCAGAGGGATGAGGCGGGGAGCACTCGGAGCATCGTTTTCGCCAGGGCCGAGCCTTGTTCCCTCCTCTCCTGCCCTTTCCTTGTGTGGTTCTCCACGGATTTGGGACCCTTGAGTGTGTGAGGGATCCGGGGGTCCTGGGTCTGGCTCCTTATCCTGGGATGGGGTGGTTGGGGGGATGCCAGGTGGCAGAGAAAGGGGTGGGATTGGGGTTTGGAACGTGGGCCCTGGGACTCCTTGTCCGAGGGAAGAGGGGGACATTGCTCCCTGTGACCCCCTGTCCAAGGGAAGAGGGGGACACCCACTCCCAGTGACCCCATCCCAGGGCAGAGGGGACCCTGCTCCCAGTGACCCCATCCCAGGGAAGAGAAGGACCCTGCTCCCAGTGATCCCATCCCAGGGCAGAGGGGACCCTGCTCCCAGTCCCCCCCTGTGCCGGGGCAGAGAGGGGACCCTGCTCCCAGTGCCCCCCTGTCCCGGTTCAGGTGCTTCTCTCACCCCCGGGGGTCCCTCATCCTTTCCCCACATCCCTCCCATCAATCCCGGGGGAAAGACGGGTGGTTTGAGGTCACCCATTAATCAGGAGCCTGAATCCCAAGGAAGGAGGGAAGCAGCAGTTTGGGGCAGCAGTTTGGGGCTGGCTGGGCTCGGGGTTTTGCACTGGGTGGGGAATGCAGGAAGAAAACGGGGCGTTTTTGCAAATTCCCGGTGAAGTTGTGGATCCGTCACCTTCTCCCCATCCCAGGGTTTATCCCCCTCGTTCCCTCTGCCTCCCCCAGTGCCCCAAACCCATCCCAAGGGTTTGGGGAAATAATCGGGTGACCTTTGGAGGGGATGTGTGTTACCGTGTAAAGCTATTTTAGCTCTCTGGATAAAATGCAGCAGGGAATCGGCACTCTCCGCTCCCCTGCGCATCCCCGCTCCCCTCTGCCGGGCGGTCAGGGCCGGCTGGTTCCCGGCACACGCGATTATCCCGAGCCCCCTTCCCAGGTCACAGGCGGAGTTTTAACTCCGGCGGCCGCTCGTCTCCACCCGGCGGGAGCGTGCGGGACTTCAGAGGCGAAAATAATTGGCTGCAGAACAAATTTAGGAAATGGAGTGTGCGATAAAGCAGATAAAAATCGCTCCCGGTTTTGTTTTTCTGGGTTTTTTTCTTTTTCCTCCCCCCTTTCCCGGTGGCGGCGAGGGCAGGGACGGCAGGGAAGGGACCGGGCTCGAGCTGGTTTTTACCTCCCTTGCAACTTCGCCATTAAAGTTGCACCTACAGCTAGGAAGTTTGTCCGTGAAAAATGGTCATTTTGTTTCCCCCTGCTCAAAGCAACGTTATTAAAATGCTAATTTAAAAGAAAAAGGAGTTAAATATCTCGCGATGGTGCAGCCTAATTGCAGCCATAATGAGCTCTCTAAATGTGAGTGCCCCTGACACACGGAGAGCATAAACAGCCGCGAACACATCATTAGTGCTCGCGTTCATTTATTCTGCCGACCTGGCGATGACCCCGCGGAGGGTCGGGAGGAGCAGGTGGATCCGGCTGCGCGGCCCCCGGGGATGCAGGAAGCGAAGCCGGGAGCGGCTGCCATGGCAACGCGGGGGATGCGGGACCGCCCGCCCGCCGAGCAGCCCCCCCCATCCCCGCCTGCCCTGTGCCCCGCGCAGCCATGGACCCCCGGGCACCCCCCCGGCACCCCCAGACCCTCCTGCACCCCCGGACCCCTCCCTACACCCCCAGACCTCTCCCTGCACCCCCAGACCTCTCCCTGCACCCCCAGACCCCTCCCTGCACCCCCAGACCCTCCTGCACCCCCAGACCCCTCCCTGCACCCCCTGCATCCCTGGACACTGCTCATCCCTGGATCCCGGGCATCCTCCCAGCACCTAAAGTATCCCTGCACCCCCAGACCCCTCCCTGCACCCCCAGACCCCCCTCCCTGCACCCCGCTCATCCCTGAATCCTGCTTATCCCTGGATCCCAGGTATCCTCCCAGCACCCTACGTATCCCTGCATCCCTGGATCCCCCCTGCACCCCCGGACCCAGCACATCCCCTGGACCCTGTGGGGGGCTGTGGGGTGATGTGGGGTGACAGCACCCAGAACCCCGGGGAGGGTGCAGAGGCAGTGGAGACAGAATCCCGGAATCAATCCTGGAATCAATCCTAGAATCACATTTGGGTTGGAAGGGACCTTAAAGCCCGTCCAGTGCCACCCCCTGCCACGGGCAGGGACACCTTCCACCAGCCCAGGTTGCTCCAAGCCCCGTCCAACCTGGCCTTGGACACTCCCAGGGATCCAGGGGCAGCCACAGCTTCCCTGGGAAATCCATCCCAGCCCCTCTCCACCCTCACAGGGAAGAATTTATCCCTTCTGTCTGGTCTGAATCTCCCATTTTTCCTCTTAAAACCATTGCCCCTTGTTCCTCTCAGGCCCTGCTGACAAATCTGCCCTCATTTTCCTTTTCTCCCCCCTTGGCTTTGGTGGGATGAGGAAACTGGGGCAGGGAGGGGGGGGAGGCACCTGAGCTGGAGCATCTCGGCTGTGCCAGGCTGGGGGCACCCAGGAGTGCTGTGCCCACCCTGTGCTGATGTTGTTTCGGGGCATCTGAGCATCCACACCCATTTTCCACGTGGAGCTCGGAGCGGGCCAGAACCCTCTGGAGGGAGGAGAGGAAGGAGCTCGATAAAAGCGATTCTTTGGGAATGATTTTCGCCCCATTCCAGCCTGTTTGCTTCCAAACAGCCCCTCTAATCACCGGCGACGCCACGACAACTTCCCTTGGATTTTCCCCCCTCCCCCCGTCTCCTCCCCTGGTTATTTTATTTTATCTCCTCTCTCTCCTGTCCGAGGGGGGGCACAGGGACACCGGCCCCGGGAAAGACTTTAAAATAAAAAAATCCCCCAGCCCGCACCTTCCAGCCCTCCCTCCCTGCGCGTCCCCCCCCCTCCCCTTCTGCCGTGCACTCTCGATGAACCTGTGATATTGTAGCAATGGCCCTTGAAGTGCGGTGGGGAGGTGATTTAGGAGAATATTAAAGGCAATGTGGAGATTCGGAAGGCGCCTCTCTCGGGGAGATCTGGAGAAATACGCGGCACAGATGGGCTGAGCAGATTAAACATTTCCGTCACATTGTTTTCCAGTCGCGCGTTCGCGGTGCCTGAGGGTTGGCACCGCGGTCAGGGAGGGAGCCGGCTGGAATAAAGGCTGGAATAAAAGATGAACGCGCCGGTTCCACGCGGGCTCCCGAGCCCCGGGGCCGCCGGGCTGATTGTCCCCCTCTCCTCTGCCCCCTCCCGGTGTCCGGAGGGATGTTTGTCCCTCTGTCCCCGGCTGGCGCGGTGCCCCCGAGCCGGGGTCGTGCTCTGGGGTGGGTGGGTTTGGGGTCTGTGGCGGTGCCTGGCTCTGCTGGTCGGTTATTTTGGTTAACTGGGTAAATCCTGAACCCATTTGGGGCTGGTCCCCCCTTGGAAAGCCTGAGGAATTGTCTCAAAGAGGAGCTGAGTGATTTTTAAGGGGAAATGGAATCCTGAACTCATTTGGGGCTGATCCCTCCATGGAAAGCCCGAGGAATTGTCTCAAGGAGGGTCTGGGTTGTTTTTAAGGGGAAATGGAATCCTGAACCCCTTTGGGGCTGGTCCCTCCTTGCAAAGCCCAAGGAATGGTCTCAAGGAGGATCTGGGTTGGTTTTGATGAGAAATGGTTAATGGGGTAAATCCTGAACCCGTTTGGGGCTGGTTCCCCCCTGGAAAGCCTGAGGAATGGTCTCATGGAGGGTCTGGGGTTTTTTTAAGGGGAAATGGTTAATTGGGTAAATCCTGAACCCATTTGGGGCTGATCCCTCCGTGGAAAGCCTGAGGAATTTTCTCAAGGAGAAGTTAGGTTGTTTTTAAGGGGAAATGGAATCCTGAACCCCTTTGGGGCTGGTCCCTCCTTGGAAAGCCTGAGGAATGGTCTCAAGCAGGAGGTGGCCTCTTATCCTTGCCAAAATTTCTCTCGTGGTTGTTTCTTCCTGGATTTCCCCCTCCAGGGCCCATCACCTTCCTCCCCCTCCATCTCCCCGAGTGTTGCTGCCCTGAGCTCCTCCTGGGTGTCAGCTCCTTCCCCCTGGGATGGGACGTGGAGCTCCCAGTGGGATGGGACACATGGATTGTGTTGGGATGGGACACTCGGATTGTGTTGGGATGGGACACTTGGATCCTGGTGGGATGGGACACATGGATTGTGTTGGGATGGGACACTCAGATCCTGGTGGGATGGGACACATGGCTTGTGTTGGGATGTGACACTCGGATCCTGGTGGGATGGGACACTGTGCCCACCCTGGCGATGCCAGAGCTGACACTGCAGATGGAAAAAGGGGAAGGAGCCCCCGGCCCCAGCTGTGTATCCGAAGCTCCCTGGTTGGGAATCCAATCCCTGGAAACAAGTGGGAATTGTTGATTTTTATAAGGAGCCACCCTACAAAATAGCAGATGTGGAGAAAAGGGTGGGCATCACCCAAATTAACTGCTCTGTGCGCCAGGCTGGGGGATGTGCCAAGGAAGTGCCATTCCCACCGAAATCCAGGTCGTGGCTGTCCCCTGGAGTTGTTTCCTTTCCCCCTTTTCCCTCTCCCTTGCCAATGGAATGAGCAGCTCGAGGCTTTTTACGGCCCCATGCACCAACCTCCCCCCTCCAAAAGCCCTGATGACAGGTGATGATCCCAAATCCCCCCCCAAAAGCCCTGATGGTGGGTGATGATCCCAAATCCCCCCCCAAAAGCCCTGATGGCGGCTGATGATCCCAGTCAGGGTGATGATCCCAGCCAGGGTGATGATCCCAGCCAGGGTGATGATCCCAGCCGGCGTCTGCTCCGGCTCCGTTCAGCACCAGGGATTTCGGGAATGACGCTTGGAGAAGTGCTTTGGGAGGGTGGGGAGGGGTTTCTTCTTTCCTGGGAGAAATCCCAGCGTTTCGGGGGCACAGCGAGCCCCCCATGGCCGTGCAGAGGGTGGCGTTGGGGTGACCCCCAAACCCAGTCCCCTGTTCTTTGCCAGCACGGGAAGGGCACCGGATTCCCAGTTTGGGGCTGGGGCAGAGCGCTGGCTGTGCTCTGTCTCCTGCCCGATGCCCAGCTGGGGTTCCCAGGGGCTCCTGGCACCCCAACACCCCCCCGCAGGCAGCACCCAGAGCAGCGGAGGGGGCAGAGATCCCCCTCCCCTCTCCCTGCTCCCTGGAGCGATTCCCCTCCCGACCAGCGGCTTCTTCCCAGTCCCTTCCATGAAGTCTCGGCTAAATTACTTCCCTCCCCCCTCCTGCAGCACAGCCCGGGCAGGTACCGAGCGCAGAGGCCCCATTAGCGTGTAATTAGGTAGATTCCAGCAAAACCCCATCCTCAGACTCCCTCCTCCCCCTCTCCCCCTCCCCGAAGCCGGCGAGAGGCGTCGGCGAGATGGAAACGAGCGTCTCCAGACAGAGCAGAGTTCGCCCTGCGCTGGGCTCTGCCTCGCTGTGCCAGTGCTCTCCTCGTTTTAATAGTTTAATAAAAATTAGCATAATTAACGAACATCTGTATGATCCAGAGTGGCGCAATTTGGCACTTGGAAACGAGGACTTAAACGTTATTGCCGGGAGTTTAATGTTGTTTTAATTCTTTTTGGCACCGGCGCGCGGCGGAATAAACGGCTCGGGCTCGGCTGCTGCTTCATTTGCATCTCCCTCCCTTTGATTATGAGCGATCGTTGGGTTATCCGGCGATCCGTCAAAGCAGAAATTATTTTAAAACACCTCTCGCGGCGTTCCAGCCTCGGAATTGCTGAGGGAGGGGGGCGGGCACGGCGTCCTGGTCGTGCCCGGGTGGGTGTCCGGGGTACAAATAAACCCGGATTTTTTCCTTCTGGCGGGAGGATTTTTTTTCCCTCCCGGCTGGTGGGATGTGTTCTCCCAGCCCTCCATCCTGCTGTCCCTCCCCAGTCCTTCCCATCCTGGCTCTGTGCTGTTTGCTGCAGTGGGGGGGTCCCTGGGGAACGTCGGGATCCCGACCCGGAGAGGGTCGGGATTCCTGGCACCCCTTCCTGGCTCTGGCGAGGGCAGCACCATCTGCAGAGTGTCTGTCTCGGGTGACTCAGCCCTTCTCCCCCCGTCAGGAAGCAGGGATGGGCTTGGGGGACAACATTAAATGTCCCCAGCCAGGCAGTGAGGGAACAGAGCCGGGAGTGTGGGGCAGGGAATGGGATGTGCTGCCGGGAACGTCTCAATTTTAACATCCAGTTTTTTTAAAGCTCACCTGTTTTGATGCCAAACTCCTCAAACCCTCAAACTCCTCCTCTTGCACACGCGGAGGGAGGAAAGTTTTCCCTGTTGTTATTTCCCTGTCGGGGAGGGGGGGGGGTGGAAATCCCACCTAAATCTGGGGAGGGAACGGATTATCCAGGCATGATCCAGCTGGAGGGGCTTCTGGAGCTTCAGGCTGAGGGCTGGGCCTCCCTGGGGGGTTGATATTTGAAATTAAACACCCCCAAAATACCGGGGTATGAATTAAACGTTGAGTTTCTGAGAGGCCCAGAGCGAAGGGGGCAGGACGAGGGAGGGGGGACAGGAAGGGCAGGGAAGGATTTACTGGGGGAGAGGTGGGACTGGGGGGTTTTCTGTTGGAGTCTGGGGGGGGCTGGAGAGCCAAAGGAAGGGCCCTGAGCCACGTTCCCTGCCTGTGTCCCCCCAGGAATACGACAGGTACGGCTGGTGGGTGGGAGAGCTCAACGACGAGGTCGGGATCGTGCCCAGGGATTACCTGGAGGCCGCCTACGAGCTGGAGGAGCGGTGAGGAGGGACAGTGACACCCCAGGTGAGAGCAGAGGGGGCACCTGGGGGGTGTTCCTGCCGGGAATGGGGCCTGGAGGTGGGTGGGAATGAGGGCTGGAGGTGGGTAATGTGGAGGCAGCTCCGTCCCCTGGGGTGTCCCGGCATCCCTGAGGACTGACTGCCTCTGGCTCCATCTCCTGGTCTCCCGTTTTACCCGGGAACAGGCGAGACCAGGAGCCACGGTGGCAGTTCAGGGGCGGTGCCACCCTGCCCAGTGCCCCCCAAATTCCATGGGAGGGACGTGGTGAAGCCACGGCAGCCCCCAGGGCCGCCAAGAGCTGTCACTGTGCCACCAACCCCGACACCAAGCGCCAGAAACAGAGAGTTTTCCTCCCAAAAACCCACAATGGAGCCGTTCCCTTGTGGAAACCGAGGCACGGGGCAGGGCTGGGAAGGAGGGGTCTGGAGTGCTGCCACCTCCTTGTCCCTCTGTGCCCGTGGCAGTGCCAGCCTCGCTGTCCCCTTCCCCACCATCACCCGTGTCTCTCTCCCCGTCCCCAAACCCAGGCACTCCTCTCTCCCTGGCCGTGCTGAGACACCAGTGACACCAGTTCCCACCAGCAGCCCGCCCTGCCGTGAGCACCCCTGGCACGAAGAGACCCCCGCGGTGCCCGGGGGTGCCCTCCTGGGGGTCCGGGGGGGGGGGTTGGCACCCCGCAATAAAGGCGTTTTCCTCTCCGTCCTTGGCCGCTCCAGACCTCGTGGAGCCGGAGCAGGGGGTGGGAAGTGCCCCCCGGGTCCACCTCCCCCCTCCCCTTCCCCAGCTCTGAGCACCCCCAGAGCCCCCCGGGCCTGGCCGAGCCCTCGGCTGAGCCCGGTGCATCCTCCCCTTCCTCCTCCTCCTCCTCTTCTTCCTCCTCCTCCTCCTCCTCCCGCACTTGGCTGAAGGACCACTAGATGGTGGTAGGGCCCCGCTCCCCGCAGCCTTCAGGGGAGGTGCCCAAACCCTCCCCGGGCCGGGCGGGGCAGCCCCCCCGGACCCTCTCCCGGCACGGGGGTGAGCCCGAGGGGCAGCTCCAGGGCACAGCCGGGCAGATGTTTGGAGCCAGGCAGATGTTTGGAGCCAGGCAGATGTTTGGAGCCAGGCACAACCCGGGGGGGGATCCCACGGGATGCTGAGGATGCGGCAGAGCCCGGGATGCTCCCCGGGGTCTGTGTCCCCATCCCATGGGATGTTCCCCGGGGTCTGTGTCCCCATCCCATGGGATGTTCCCTGGGGTCTGTGTCCCCATCCCATGGGATGTTCCCTGGGGTCTGTGTCCCCATCCCATGGGATGTTCCCCGGGGTCTGTGTGTCACCATCCCATGGGATGATCCCCGGGGTCTGGGTGTCCCCATCCCATGGGATGCTCACCAGCCCCATCCTGGCACCCGCTGCCTCATCCCGAGGCTT